CCTCTCTCTCGCGAGCCACTCTTGATAACAACGATCACACTCACAGGGTGCCCGCCTTGATGAAAGTACCTCCCTTCGCACCCGCCTGACTGAATAGGTGCACGGGTTCTAGCCACAGACCACAGTAGCGGCAACAGAGCCGCGGCCGGATCCCGTTTTTCTCGACATGACGTCGTCTTCTGTGCGTCCCGCCCTACCCGCTGCACTCTTCTCTAAGCGGTGCCGTGAGGCTGTCTCGCGCGATTGTGGACGCAACGCCCTCCGCATTTTCTTAATTTATCCCCTCTTGACATTTACTCCAGTCCCTTGGAAGTAATAATGACGAATCACAATGCTTTCTACTTCGAAGTACAAAACAAGCCCGACTAGTCCCCGGCCGCCCTATTGGCAACATATATTTGACCGTATCTCAATTCCACGCTTTCCGCACAAACACACAAACCACACCGAGCCTCTGTACACACGTCACAGCAGAGCTTTGCACCGGTGATGGTCTTGAATACACATGTTGATTAGGAAGGAGGGCATTTGCTGCCGCACAAGTAACTTGAATGATTCAGTCGCACCCACGGGGAAAAAGAGGCAAGAAAGCAACATACAGAGTCTCGTTGACGCCCAAAAGGCCACCAGCAAGAATGGGGTGACCAACCCAAAAGCAGCAGCATTCCTCAAGGAAAACAAGCGCACTTTCTCTCGCCCCACACATAGAACAAGGAATTGTCTGCACGAGAGTGGCAGACCGCATTTATGGCACATAAATATTGGAAGGAAACAAACACACGGGCTAGTCCGTTTCCCCGCATCGACCTCGTCGCCCGCACAAGAAAATTACTGTTATCGTAGCGGGGACAAACATCGACAACCTTCCGTGACCGTGATATTCTTTGCAGTCATTACGACCCCCCACACACACGCCACCACTACGTGCCCCTACTACTGCCCCTGACACAAAAACATCGCAAATTGCAAAGAAGCAAGCGAAGACTGAAAAAAAATAAAAAACGCCAGGTGAGTGAGTTGTGAATTGAGCAACGTCACCGACGCAAGCAACAAATGCGGTAGCCTTCTCGTCCACACGAATAAAAAAAGACATTCCGTTCATATGGATGACGCTCCCAAGTCACATGTCCAAGGAAAGAGAAAAAAGGACAGCGCGGACGAACAGGCTAAGCCCCCTCTCCCCCCCCCACGCCCATTTGGTTCAGGGTCTCTGTTGAAAAAGAAAGCCAAGTAGATTCGCCGAGCCTTCTCCGCCTCGCAATTAAAACTATCGTACAAATGCCCTTCGACCCACTTTATTAGAAAACTCTCAACGTGCTCTACCCGCCAAATGTCACTTCCCGCTCTCTCTCTCTCTCACGCGCATTTGCCTTGGCTAATTGGCGTATTAAAATGGGTGTTCTAGCATACCGCCGAAAAAGTCTTTCCTCGTCAGAACGTAGAGCGGTGCGCACCCACACTTCGTCGACTAAATCCGCCACAAACCTTGCACACCGCACAGATTCGTCGTCGTAAAAGATTCTGGCACTAGAAAACAGCAGTCTCGAGACGAACAAGCGCGGCTAGCATACGAAGATGGGTAGCACTCCGCAAGGTCATGTGAAGACGCGACTCGTTGTTTCACTTGGAATGCCAGAACACTCAATTCGCAACCTCCGAGAATTTTCAGCACTGGTGGTGGTGAAAGTATTCCGGGGTTTTTATAATAAAGCATGAATTATTATATGAGTAGCAGCCCTACTTCTCTCGAGAGCGCAACAAAAGCAGAATCCTCCACCAAGCTGCAAGCCTAGCGTAAAAAAATCGTCAACGACTCTCATCCCTTGACCCGTTCGCAAACACGCTGGCTCGAGCAAATAATCAAAACACGCACCGTCCAAGGAGAAAACGAAGAGGGCGTACTTTTTCATTCACAGCAACAAAAGATCGACAAAACCACTCTCAACCCCCCCCGTAAGAAAACGACAAGCAACAAAAACACCACACCAGAGAAAGAGAGAAAAGATGTACATGACACCTTTCACCGGAGAGAAAAAAAAAAAATCATGATGAAACCATGAGAAAAGCACAACAAAGAATCAAATGTGATCAAAACATGCTCGAAGCTCTCGGGATCCCGCTGCCTCGCGCGCTGCCGTCCAGCCTGGTCCTCTCCTCGTTCTGCCACCGGGTCCAGCCCAACACCCTGGCGCCCTTCAGCACGGCGTCCAGCGACCTCGCCTTCAGCTCCCCCTTCCCCGCCCTGATCCACTCGTGCCCCAATGCCTTCTCCGCGGAAAACCTAGCCGCCGGCCCCCTCGGCGTCATGAGCGCCCCCACCAGGCCCTTGGCCTCCGCCGAAACGCCCGCCCAGGCGGGGCCGGTGGCGGTGTCCGGCGCCTTAGGGTTGACGGCGGACGAGAGGGTGGCCACGCGGGGCGGCGAGCCGGAGAGGAGGGTGTACAGGAGCGCCCCGACGGCGAACATGTCTGCGGGCTTGCCGTGCGGCTCCTCGAGGATCATCTCGGGCGCCGAGAACGCTGCCACAGCGGGAGTGGGGAGAGACGGATGAGGGTGGAACAAGGTTTCGCGAGGGGGATACGCTGCATTGGTGGATAGCGAATGGAGGTCGTCAGGTCATCGAACACGTGGTTCAGCTGAGACTGTTTCTTTGTCTTCAAGAGACTTTTCCAGCGCTAGAGTACTCTGGGGAGGGAGATACAGCAGTGCGTGTTTCGGAGGGTAGATAATTCTGTGTCCGTGAATGATGATCAGACGATTTTCGGCGATCGTGAGCTTGTCGTGGGCGCGCACAAACACGATGGTAGCCCTCGCAAGCTCAGCCTTGGTTCGTCTACGCGAGTCTAGATGACCACCCCAAAAGTTAGACACTATCGTACCACCCACTCATTCCGACTCCATTGATAGCAGGGGCGGGGCACACCTCCCATGGACACGATCTGCACGTGGCTGGCTACAGTATAGACACCCGCCGGCGTCTAAAATCTCTCCCCAAAAACTACGCCGCCGTTCAGACCCGGCGCCCAACATCTCTCTCCCCTACACCTCCTTACCTCGGTTGCCGAAGCAGTGTTCTCCAGGGACTTCCCCGCTGAGCGGAAGCCTCTTAGATCTCCCCCACCCAGCCACCTTGACCCTCTTGCCGATCCTCGGCTGCGGCCCCCCCGACGGGTCCCTAGCCATGAGGAGCTTCTCGGGCCTCAAGTCTCGGTGAACGCAGCCGACCTCGTCGTGCACGTGCTTCAGGGCCTGCAGCAGGGCGATAGCGATCTGCCGCGCATCGTGCTCGGTGTAGGAATGGAGCGCCGCCACCGCGTCGAGGATGTCGCCCCCATCGAGGAGCTGCGGTGCAAAACGTCCGTTGTAGTAAATATGTTATTCGGGGGGGGGTGCTGATAGTCATGCATGCCGTTATCGTTAGACCATTGACCTCGCGTCCAGAGAGGACGGAGCGGGGAGGGGGGGTACTCCTGAAAACGAATGCCCAAGTCGTTGGACCATTAACCTCGCATCCGAAAAATGCCGGGACGGAACGATAAACCGAGTGTTCGCCAGTCCAGGCTACGTTTCACAAGCATGAACCAGATGCTGGTCGTCATCCGTGCATTCCATGGGGGGCGGGGTAAGATATGCAATCAGGAAGACATATCCCATGTGTGGAGAGGTGAAACTCTGATATTTCTCGTGATCTTGGGTGCGTAAGCGGGCTGTGCGAACAACGTGGGCGAACGGCGAGGTAATACGGTCGGACGTTGGGGAACTGTTGTGAATCTGACGACCTCCACCCCAACTCTTGTGCTAGCCATGTACGACTTCGACTATTGGTCGAAGCAAAATACACACGCAACAGCTGCGTCTGCACCCATTTGTCTGCCACAACAGATTGAACGGACACAAACGGTGTGGTGTTGATCGTGAGGATACACCGACATCGACACCAGAAAATAAAACCCTGTTGGTTTCTACCACAACACAGATCAGCTCAGCATCAGGTTCACTTCTATTAATCATACTCGGCGAGAGTTGTGCGGCACTGATGTATGGTGACATCGTGGGACCGAGAGGGATGCCCGTGCAGTGTGGCCCAACCTCGATCGCTACGAACAAAGTGGTTCCTGTCGCCGAGAAGTCGAGACTACCGCACGCTGGCCTCTTCCGAGCGTGCTAGCACGGCACTGCCGCAAAACCCCAGAATCAACTGACCTCCAAAACCACGTAGTGACAACTCGGCAGGGACTCCAAGCTCACGAGACGCACGATGCTCGACTGGGACAGGCCGCTGAGCACGGCTGCCTCCTCCAACACACGCTCCTCCTGGCACAGCAGCACACACGAGGAGCGCGGGGGCGGTAGGACGCTCAGGAGGAGAGGAAAATGTGGCCTTTTACGTCAGGAGGACGCCACCTCACCACAACACGATCATGCGTTTGGTGCGCAGAAGCGAGACGCAGGCTTCGTGCTTACAAAAAAGCGCGGAGGATCCCTGGAACGCATGCTGAAAGCCTCATGGTTCGAGTTACTGTCATCGACCGTTCAAACGTCGTGCGGACACTACCTTCATGATTGGGTGTTGCTGGGTGAAGCAATCGCACACAAACACGCACGCAACGGCCACACGCGCAAGAGCTTCGACTGCACGTTGCCGGCAGTCGTCTAGCGTCCAACAGTATTCGGTGACAAGCTGTTCGCCAAACAATGCTCGACGTTGTTGCCGTTTCACAAAAATCCGCTTAGACTTCGACGTGGTTCGGATCCACCGACTGCTGTTTGCATATTTCGTGGCGGACGCTTCTGACGGAAATTGCCCGCGAAATTCACATCACAGAGCGGGATGGGATCTCTTTGTGTAGATATATGCATATGCTGAATTCAGGAGTCCTCCAAAGTACGCAAAACAACAATCCCTGCGACAAAAAAGGTAGCATTCTTTCGGCGACGTGCGTATCGTGCAGAAAGTTGAACGGGTGCAATCATTTACTAGAGTGCAATGCAACGAACAAACGCGGCGTAATACCTCCTGGCCGGAGTGTCGGTTCCGCTTGACGCACTTGACCGCCACGCTCTCCCCGTCCGAGCGTCGAATAGCGTGCCGAACTTGCCCCAGGCGGCCGTGGCCCAGCCGTCTTCCGAACAGGTACTGATTACACCGCACAATTGCGCGAGAGATTCAACACAACACTTCCATGTCAGAACACGTGTAAAATATCTAAAAATAAACAGCCGGGAAGCCCAAACGGGTGCATGTCGCAAGCCACACGGGGTGGGTGTCGAACGACATCGCGGGGACACAACAAAGCAATTCAGAGCCTTGTCAACGCGCGTCTGCATCCGCCCACGTGCGCTCAAAAACTGACTTGTTTCCACACAAGCGGACGAGTTCTCCGTTACCCAGCCACTACACCTGACAGATAATACTACACATCATATGACGTTTCTCGTCCCGCTCACGGTCCACCTGAGTGTGAGGTACACAACGGTCGCGTCTCATGGTAGGTGCTCCCTCATTACAACGTCAATACTACTTGGGACATAATTCCCGTGCTGAAGGCATGACGCCTGTAACACACTGCGGTCTGGAGTCGCAAGAAAGGTCGCACCGTACAGCAGCAATGCCGACACTTGTGTGGGCATGCCACAGGCACTCAAGACTTGATATTCTCAAGAGCTTCACAGCACGAGTTGAGATGCCGAGTAAACAAAAACTCTTTCGTCAACACCGTCGGACAACGGCTGTTGTTATCGCCCTGTCGGGGAACAAAAAGCAATCAGTCCGATCGTCGTGACTCCCCAGTGCACGCGACTGGTTTGACTCCCGATTACACGTCAGGCGGCATTCTTTCATCCGCCGAAAGCCCTTGCCATTCGCTTCCTCGAAACGGATGAACTTTCTCTTCCCTCACGTTTCCTTGGATAGTATCTTCTGCAAGTCTGCCTCCACCACACGACGTACTTCCGCATGAAAAGGCTTCGACAGAACGGCTTGTGTACATGTGTACGTTTGTTGTATCTGTTCTATACCGTCAGCCTACATGCGTTCGGAGTACACCTCTGGCGTATCATCCGGGGCGACACAGGAACAAGGTCACGCAGGAACTCTTTTAAGTAACTGTCAATTTGGTTTGAAGTCATGAGGAAGTTGTGCAAACGGTGCGATCCCATGCGTTCTCAACTGGTTGTACGCGATTCGTTCCGTGGGTACGATCCCCGTGCGAAAATCGAATTGAACATCCATTGTTTAAGTGTTGGTCACCTCCCTGCGCAGTGACTCCGGACTGCTGTACGATGAATAAAAGTACTCGACAAAACCACGGCTACCCGTATTGCAGTGCTTCATACCAGCACACTATTTTGTTTTCTTTTTCCAAGTGGTTTGTAACCTATTTTTGTTTTTTTTCCCCGCGGCGTCGTATATGCCGGGTTTTGAGACCACGGGCTCCCCATTTTTTGTGGACTATAGAGCTAATGTGAGAAACAACAACAACAACAACAACAACAATACGTCCGGTTCGCTGGGTGTGAACAATCCGAATGTTGAAGTATCCACCAGCACCATACCTGCACGCGTGCTGCAGTGGAGCCTCTACCTTAAATACCGCGGAATCAATGTTGTACAAGCTCAAAGAAGTCCAGAGTTATCCCGGACTCGTGCGAGAGCTAGAGCCGAACATCGGGATTTTCTCGGAGTTTTCGATAGACACACGGAGCTCCGACTTTCCCCTGTGGGAAAAATCGGATGGAATAATTTTTCCGTTCCTGTTTGCGTTCTCACCGCACCCCTGCTGTGCGATAGAGCACCACAAATACATGTACCGTGAGATGTCCGTCACTTTTGTAGAGCAGAATGGAACGTGCAGCAGGACTACACCAGTCCCTCGCTACAGTCGAAGAGCGTTTTGCCGCTGGCCGGCTGGCCTACAAGCATTGAAATCGCGGTAGTGTATACCAACGTTCGGGAAAGGTACATGTATCTCTCTCTGGCCCCTATGTGAAAAGTGCCTTCATCATATGTTTTTTCATGTAAACCGGATGCCCGCTGCCGCATGTGATTGAACAGAAGCAGCGGCAGCTACATAGAATGAAGGTATTGCATCGCCAGAGGTGCGTCCGAAACCTAAACCTTGGAATGTGTTTGAAGCTGTGGTTTACAGCCAGAACGACAAATGGTGGCAGTATCAGAAGAAACCAGCTGGTGTGCAGAATAGATACAACCTCTTACTTTCTGAAGAGAGTATAAACATGATCTCACTTTAAGACCCCCCGTTCGAGAATAACCACAAGATTTTAGAGTCGAAGCGATGTAACAGATCGTGTCGACACCAGGGTCAGGTAGGTAGATAGGCTGCGTGAATACTGGACCCAACTCCAATCCGTATACGGGGAGCAGAGGCCGACACAATCGGCGCCTCAGGAAATAACCACTTCCGGGTAGTAGACGGTAGGACGAACGGGCCGAGGTAGTGCAGCAGGTACACTTGAACCCGACCGAACATGCCAAGACGAACAGCTGCTTTCTCTTACCATGACGGCGCGTCATGCCCTCAACAGACCCCTAGAAACAAATCCGACGCTCTTGACATTGACAATATTCACGACATTCGTTGCGATCGATCGTCCGTCCAAGGGTTGGGTTCGGAGCATAATCAGAAAGCACGACCAGCTCTTCCTCCTAACCACAGAACGTAGACGGCAGTCACGAGTCGGGACGCCAGGTCTCAGACGCTCGAACCCCGGGCGAGAGTGATTCAAACCTCAACCAGGTCGTTTTTTCTGCCGGTCCCCGAAAGAACAAAAGAACACCCTCGGGCATCCGAAGCGACACATGCTCCACAACTCACATCCGGCAAGCCCAGGGAAGGGTCCTCCTCGTCCTCCTGTCCATCCTCATCCTCCGCGATATTGCCAGATGGCCCACCGCACCAGAAGAAACAGTTCAAAAACCCGCGCTGCTGCAGAGGTGGCGGCTGCTGCTGCTGCTGCTGCTGCTGCTGCCGGAACTGCTGTGGCTCCAGCACAGAAGCAGCACCTCCCCCCCAATTCCCGTTCCCTCCAAAACCTAGGAACGTTTCAGCGCGGGCGAATGGCTCCTCGGACTGCACATGGTGGGTTTCCGCCCGCCGGCGCATAGCGTCGATCATGTTATGGCCAGATCAGGGCGCCGCTCCTGTGTGCGTGTGCCGCATAGAGAGTGGGTCTGGGGTACGTGAATTCCGGAGTGTTGGGGGGGGACGCGGAATCAGTTAATATCCGTGCCCTCGCAGTGTACCTTTTTAGGGTAAGTTAGCCTGCGAACACGGGAATCGACCGCGTCGATTGTTGGATCAGTACGGACATACGAAGGTACTGGGTAGAGAGAGATCGGAACGGTTTTTAATGTGAACACAGCAGCAGCAACAACAACAACAAGTGCCCCTTCACCCACCTCGGCAGATCCACGGCATCAGCATGTGATGGGCATCATGGCATCGATTGTTGCGTGCACGTGCCGTTGTTGTTTGTGCAGTGTTCTTGGTAAGGTTTCCTCTCTGTAGCACCGATCGTGGGAACAAATGTACCCGTTTATCGAAGTTTTCAGGGTACTGCTGTATTCGCCGAGTACCTATTCGCTGAAGATCGTGTCTTTCTTGTGTGCGGTCAAGTGTGGTACAAAGGCCAAAAGGCCGCAAAGGTACATAGCCAGTCAATGCGCACGAATCGTCTCGGAAAACGTTGATCATGATGACATATAATAAGAGGGTCCTGTCGAATTCGCACTCTGTGGAAAGCCCTCAAACTAGTTGGTGTTTGGCCCGTGAATCTCTGTTTTCGAAGCAGTCCGCCCGAGATATGAAATGCACACTTTGTACCAGTATACAGATGATGCAAACGCGGGACGGGCAGCCCAAAAAAAAAAAACAAGGCAAAGCAGAGGGCGGCCCCACAAGATGGAGGCTCAAGGTCTCTTCTATGCGTCCCGAAAAAGAAAAGAGACGTGGCAGCACCGCAAACTAATGCCCTGGTTGATCAAACTCGGAAAAATGCCTGACCACATTGAACGTATACTATGCACGAACAACGAACAAAAGACGGGCTTCCCGCGGGTTGCCAAAGAAATTACACGTATGGTTGTAAAAGCACACGTCGAGGGCAAAAACAGGAGGCTGGGCGGATGGTAGAATACCAAACGAGTCGTCGAGTCTAATGACAAGGGGTGCTGCCTGCAGACAGGCCACGGGTGCACCATGGTACAATCGGTAATGGTGCAACCAACAACCTTTTTGCCTGCGAAGTCTCAGAATGAAACAACACATTGACAGGGCGATCAGGTTGTTCTGCTTTTGTTTTATTACCATACATGTACCCGTCAGGCATGTGTTGGTACACACCTGCTACGAACACGTCTTTATACCCACGAGAAATCATCCCATCCTTACACCATCAACGTACGAGAGCGAAATCTCCACGTGTTTCTTGCCATCTTTCTCATTTCAGCGCTTGTGCCACGTACGCTGGTAGCGCCGCCGCCCCTCACAGCGAGCTGCGAAAAATAACCCCATGACGAAAAGACATACCACCACCCAGTTGTACACACTAATTATCCAGGTGCCCATGGTGTCATGTTGCACTCGAACCCACGGTGCCCCCCTTAGGCCTCTTGCCGTTCTGGGAACCTGTTGCCCCTGCCGCCCCATTGCCCGTTGGCTTTCGCCCGCGCTTCTTGGTGCCCCCCGCTATCGTACATACAGGCATTGCCTTCTTTACTGCCTCTAATCGATCCCGGCACTGAGCTACCTCTGCGTCTGACACCTGCACAAAAAACGACGAACGGAAGCGGGGGCACGCACAACCCAGCTTGAGAACTTAACAAGCATCGAACCGTCTCGGGGTGCATCTCTCGGGTTGGATGAACTGCGCTCGAGAGAGGGACAGCCGAGACTTTCGATGCTGTGCCTCAATACATATTGGACGCAGGCAACAAAAACCGCGAAATAAACTGAGAGCTCATCCGTTCAGCGGTCTGGGGGGTGCACATTTAGAATTAAAAAAAAGCCTCATCCGCAGCACCGCTAAATTACACAGGTCACGTTTTCACCGGAGCACCTTTCGCAACACCAGGCACCACGATAGCTGGCCACCGCATGATGCCAAGAACATGGAATTTTCGCAGCAGCAACGATAGCAGAAACGGTGCACGCGACATCCAAGAAGAACACACTGGTCGGTGTTGGCGGCGAGTGAAGAACAAGGGGAAACACAGGGCACGACACGTCGTACGTTGTGAACGCCCGTCTTCACGTGGCGTGTCTAGAGAGGCCAATAATGGCATGCGGCACAACAGTTGGTCGTACGAAGAATAGGAAATCGACACAACAATCACTCCCTGCAGTTACGCGAGAAAACCGTGATCGGTGGCAAGAACGCTGGCTAACTGTGCGGATTACATAGTGGCTGCAGTTCAAAGTACTACCAGATTCTTCAAGGGGTCACCATTACTGTAGCTCGACGGTTTAGCACTTTTTCAGGGGTTCTCCACGGTTGAATTTAGTGATGATTCAACGAGGACTCGAAAAGCGCATAGCCAACTGAATGGCTTCAACAAACGAGGGCTTCGAAACGTTTTTCGATGGCCAAGGGTGAAATTGTGAAAAAAAAAAGCCTCATCCCATACTAAGCTGTTTCGATTGACGCGTTCGGCGTTGTGGCCGTTTGCCCTCCGAGGTGTGCAGCCGCAATAATTGCGCTCGGCGTATCATGTAGCATCAAAGCAGCGGACACCGTCCGTCGCCTCCTTTTCAAGTGGCACGTGGGGGACGTGTTCTAGGAGGCGAATGGTTCCGTTTCACCCGGCGTGCACTGGGAGCGTCTGAACAGCGAAGGACAGCACTGATCGCAACAGAGTAGCCAGTGGAGACTCCACAGACACAGCAGCACTGTACCGACACATCGCTGTAGCCAGTGGAGCTCCAGACACAGCAGTGCAGACCTATTATGAGCGAGACCTTGGCGAGACTAAATTTTTTTGTCACCGCTGAGCAAAGGCTTCTACATAGAATACAGTGCGCGCCGGCCGCGAAGTTCAATTTCTTGGTTATTACGAACATACTCCGTTTTTCTTACGATCGGTAAAGAAGCCGAAATCAAACCACTAGACTAAGCAATTGACGGATTCTACTGGTTTAATGTCACCTTCTAAAGCGGGCGGGTACTGCTGTACTACCGAAGTTCTATTAGCACCTTGCTGTCGCAGCCTCAGCGATAGACCGATTGCTTGGCGAAGGGGTCAAGTCGCCGCTACAAAAGCGAGTCGAACCAACTATTCCTGTCAAGACGGTCCACATGCACCTTCGATACTACTCGCTGCTGTTGTGTAGTATATCGGGGTCGCGTGAAGTCAGCAGCTTCGGTTGGTCTATCTATAGCCCCGTTGATGCAACCGACCATGCATACCGAAGTACTCCGAGGTTCGGGGGATATGGCGCTGTGCGAATAGAGCTCGTTGGTCTGCAATCACGTGCCGAATGCTTGGATGTACGGCAATCGTTCTGCGATAACCGTAGTCAAAGCTCAGGGTAGCAACCAACCGGAGGGGCGATGTTGAAGGACCATCAACTACCATAAAACGAGGAGAGATGGCAACCCCCCTACAGCAGTGTAGACCGACTCACAGCTCGATTGCTCCGTAGCCAATTGGGTGTGTGAAGAGCCCGATAAGTCTGGGGAAAGCCGTCGACGAGATACTTCCAATACCACCATTATTGGTGTTGGCACAAGCTTGGTTGTGGACCAATCGAGTTTTGAAAATCGTTCTAGGGGATGCCATCCCCACCTCTTACGGTAGGTGTTCCTCCTTTGCACCGCCATATCGGGCACCAGTTCCTCGCAGGGCTCTCTGGAAAGCGTGTGTCGACATTATGACACCATTCTAAACAAGATAGTTTTTCCAAAAGTCTGCTGCAAGTTGAGCACCCGAAAGGTGTGGACCGAGTACGCACCATGTGGTGGGTCCTGTGAGCAAGCTTTGTTAGCAGGGCACACAATAATTATAGTTTATTTTTGAAGAGAAGTGGCCCGATAGGGACGCCTTTTGTTAAAAAAAAAAGCTGTTCAGAGGGGTGGGGGCAAACGGGCCAAGGCTGTCCGACGGTCTGTCTGACCAGCAATAAATAAGCCAGCAGACTCGAGCCCATTTCACCATTTCGGCACCAAATTGCAATCTAAGACGTGTTCACAACAAGTAATATTTTACCCGAGCTGCCCCAACTGCTACCTCTTCAATCCGTGCTCGGTGCGTCGAGATAGTGCAGCGTCGGTACCCAACTTGAAGCAGGGAAGATGCTAGCCCCTTGCAACACCGAGAGGAGGTGTCGTTTGATTTTGAACCAAGACAGATAACCTCGCACACCACACACCACACACACAGAGCCAGACATGGACAAACAGGGAGAGGGAGACACAGACCACAGCGAGGGCGAGACGGCGGGAGAAGGGTGTGCCATACACTGCTGCTGTTAGCTATCGGCGGAGGAAGCGAGAGGAGAGATCAACATTTGGTTGCAGCAGCAGCTGCTGCTGCAGCAGCAGCGGCGGCCTCTCTCTCTCTCTTTCCGCGGAGAGGGGCACATGACACCAAAATACACAGACGCTGCTACGCACCACCATTGGTGCGACATGTACTGCTGTACGCCTCTCTACACTTTTGTGCGCGAAGGCCTAGTGTGCGACCAGTGCCTCCCGTGCTAGCCTGGTTACCCATCACACGCTTGAACGCTNGAGAGGGGCACATGACACCAACAACACACAGACGCTGCTACGCACCACCATTGGTGCGACATGTACTGCTGTACGCCTCTCTATACTTTTGTGCGCGAAGGCCTAGTGTGCGACCAGTGCCTCCCGTGCTAGCCTGGTTACCCATCACACGCTTGAACGCTTTTGAGGTTTCGTGATCAAAGCTCGAACCAACAAGCGAA